ACCAATTTCCAGAATTTAAAATCTCTTTTCGAATTTATTGGAATTCTAAATAGGTCTCAATTGTTTAGATCGATTCGGATCTTGTGCTTTGACAGATCATCATTCTCCATAACATCAATAATAAAGCCACTATCGAATTTCACAGGAAATAGTTGATAAATGGGTGCGTTGCAAGTAAAATCACATTACGGATACATGATTTACTATATCTCATGACTCGATTTTACTAGAAACCATATAATTATTTAGTAAAAAAAAAAATTTTTTTATAAAGAATTTTACCTGCATAACGGTAAAAATACCTTTTTTTGCATAAAACGCTATTATGGAGAAATTTCAAAAAATAATAAAAAAGATCGAACCATCCAAACACCCTGCGTGGGAAAAAAAATCCAATAAGCTTCCAAACCTATTGATGCTTAAATATCCTTGTCCACTACAATGTTCCCGATATACAGATGCAGAAAAAAGTTAATCCGCGACTTTCAAAAATCGTCTAAAATAGCAAATTAATTAATTTCGAATAAAGATATATAGAAAGGATAATCATAAATTACGTACCCACGACGATTTTTGAGACACATTATTTTATCGATGTCAGAAAGATTATGTATCGCGTAATGTTGATGCTTTAGTTGAAGAAACTCCTGCAAGTTATAACGCGACGTAAGACAACTTATATTGTTTGAATCACAATTTGCCTAAATTCGCATGGCAGAAATACATTTAGTAATGAATTGATCATTAAAAAAAAATACAAATTACATCACATACCATTATTACTCCCATTTCTTTAATTATGACGCCTTCTGAAGGTTTCATATTATAAATAAATAATAAGATCAATCGGAAATGTGGAAATACCAAAATAAATGCTTAGAAACATATGAATTTAGTTTTTTCTCGCGAATTCTAACAAGAAAAGCACGTATTCTTTCATTCTTGGCCACAACCACCATTTTGCATGAATAACGGACTAGTCCAAGAAATATTTAAATAGAAGTAAAACTAAATTTTGAAAAACCTACGTTTGTGATCCAATGTATTTGAGCTAACGACGGGTGTAGCAGTAACTTCCAATTCCACCACTCAGTTAATATATATTCCAAGTTTTATAACGGTTTCACCAAAAGGGTCAAATTATTTTATTCAATGAATATCTAAACACAATTTTAATTACCTTTTTTATATCTATCTCGTGCTGATTTTAAATTATTAAAAAAAACTAACTGTAAATAGCAATAGAAGATCTTTTAATTAATTAGGGAAAAGACGCGTTAATGCTACTTAGTTCAACCGCTCGTAACGTTCGGCACATATAACAATCGTTAGTAAAGCCAACGACTCCTAAAGGGGTATATTTCCGTTCTCTGGCATTCCATCCTCCAAAAAACTTTACCAGCAAATGTTTTACGTACTTTCCAGCTGGAATTCAGATGCTGCTCTACTAATTGAGCTTCAAAATCTTTGTATGTCGCAGATGATTCTTTCATTATAGTCGAGAATGCGACCAACGCTGTTGTCGAGTAATATTGTGCTGTAATGGGTCAAAAGTTCTAACTTTACAAAGAAAATTGACGCGTAAATTTTAGCATTTCGAAGCTTGGAGTAAATTTTCTAAGATGTGTACGCATCTTGATCATTATTCATGCTCGAAGAGAATATAAGCGAACCTTCTAAAGAGAATTCGAAAGAGGAAGAGCCTGTGTTATTGAGGAATTATATGGAAAGAGCATTTTCAAACTTAGTATTTATCGGACATGTAGGTTAGTATTAGAATTTTAATTCCATTTATTGTTCTTTGATCGTTATATCCGATGTTTTACGATTATTATTTCAATTTGTAATTAGATGCACTATATGCTGTGAGTATCATTCAGAGAAACGGTCATCAATTTATTTCTAAATATACTAATTTACTTTTTATATGAAAAGGTTTTTGACAGGAATGGTAATTCTTTTTTTTTCTTCCTCGAACAATCACCATCACAACTGTTACTATTAAACCACCGAGAGCAATCCCGAATCTCACACCATCGGTTTGATCAGATAAATACGAAAATGAGCTAAAGAACAAAAACGGGCATGATATTTATTATGGGCGATTGATACAAATAAGGAATAACGTGCAAAGTATTTACTTTACTTATATTCAATATAGTTATTGTATTATTTTTATTCTTTCCAATTTACATTTATTATTTATACAGGGAAATTAGAAGAATGTGAACGTGCTTATTTAAAACAAATAAGGGTCGATAGATGCACCAGGTCATAAAAATTATGAATGACGCGCTTCTTAAACAGATGTTAGAATATTGGTAAGATAATTATTTTTATATTAATGAAACAGAATGGATCGTTACACTTTATTTAAATTGATTCCATATTTTAGGTCATATCTGCTAATAAAGGTGAATTTAAAACAGGATTTGAGAGATGCGTTCAAACATGTGAACATGCCGTTCTTTGTTGGTTGACTTCCAAATTATGAAGAGGACATAAAGATTTGTTCCTGAATTAGTACTTCAAGAAACTAATGAAGCCACGATTCCTTACTTTGAACGTTCTTTTAATTATGACTCTTGAAAGAGTTTGACATTGACATCTGGTTCGGTTATTATTGATCTGCTGAGCATCAAGCGTTAAAGGTCATTCGTTGTGGGTTCAAGGTTGCCAAGCCAAAATAATTAAACAATGAATAGTATGCAGAGATACAAAGCTACCAAACGTTCAAAAAATATTATTGCTCTTGAATTCTGATCCTCACCTTAAAGGAAATTACTAGTTAATACTCGGATGAAGGAAAAGAACCTTTTTTTTTTTTTTTTTGGAAAATATCAAGATAACGTATCGATGTTAAATCCTGAAGATATTTTTTTCATCTCTATTTCATAATATGTTTGCAAATCATGGAGGTTATTTGGTACATCTTTGCTAAATTACTCACCGGTCTAGAAGATTGTTTGTATTATCACATGTAAGCTTTTATGCTTGATATTTCGATAGATCTTGTATATTGATGTCTTTTGATTTAACAAAAAAAGTTATAGGTCAACGAACATGAAAATGAACAAACTCTGATGCAGTTTTCTCTGTGAAATTAAAAGGAATATTAAATTTGAAGGCATTTAAAATGAGTGGGATCGCACAATATAAAATATGTAATTTCTTTATTGGTAAATAAATTAACTTAACCATGGAGCTTATTATAAAGTATTTATTATAAACAAATTGTATAATCATAAACTTGAAAACTATTAAAAATTAATTTAAGCATTAAGACTATTACAACTATTTATCCGCCACTTTAAAATTC